GTGTGTGTGTGTGGTGTGTGTGTGTGTGTGTGTGTGTGTGTGTGTGTGTGTGTGTGTGTGTGTGTGTGTGTGTGTGTGTGTGTGTGTGTGTGTGTGTGTGTGTGTGTGTGTGTGTGTGTGTGTGTGTGTGTGTGTGTGTGTGTGTGTGTGTGTGTGTGTGTGTGTGTTGTGTGTGGTGTGTGTGTGTTGTGTGTGTGTGTGTGTGTGTGTGTGTGTGTGTGTGTGTGTGTGTGTGTGTGTGTGTGTGTGTGTGTGTGTGTGTGTGTGTGTGTGTGTGTGTGTGTGTGTGTGTGTGTGTGTGTGTGTGTGTGTGTGTGTGTGTGTGTGTGTGTGTGTGTGTGTGTGTGTGTGTGTGTGTGTGTGTGTGTGTGTGTGTGTGTGTGTGTGTGTGTGTGTGTGTGTGTGTGTGTGTGTGTGTGTGTGTGTGTGTGTGTGTGTGTGTGTGTGTGTGTGTGTGTGTGTGTGTGTGTGTGTGTGTGTGTGTGTGTGTGTGTGTGTGTGTGTGTGTGTGTGTGTGTGTGTGTGTGTGTGTGTGTGTGTGTGTGTGTGTGTGTGTGTGTGTGTGTGTGTGTGTGTGTGTGTGTGTGTGTGTGTGTGTGTGTGTGTGTGTGTGTGTGTGTGTGTGTGTGTGTGTGTGTGTGTGTGTGTGTGTGTGTGTGTGTGTGTGTGTGTGTGTGTGTGTGTGTGTGTGTGTGTGTGTGTGTGTGTGTGTGTGTGTGTGTGTGTGTGTGTGTGTGTGTGTGTGTGTGTGTGTGTGTGTTGTGTGTGTGTGTGTGTGTGTGTGTGTGTGTGTGTGTGTGTGTGTGTGTGTGTGTGTGTGTGTGTGTGTGTGTGTGTGTGTGTGTGTGTGTGTGTGTGTGTGTGTGTGTGTGTGTGTGTGTGTGTGTGTGTGTGTGTGTGTGTGTGTGTGTGTGTGTGTGTGTGTGTGTGTGTGTGTGTGTGTGTGTGTGTGTGTGTGTGTGTGTGTGTGTGTGTGTGTGTGTGTGTGTGTGTGTGTGTGTGTGTGTGTGTGTGTGTGTGTGTGTGTGTGTGTGTGTGTGTGTGTGTGTGTGTGTGTGTGTGTGTGTGTGTGTGTGTGTGTGTGTGTGTGTGTGTGTGTGTGTGTGTGTGTGTGTGTGTGTGTGTGTGTGTGTGTGTGTGTGTGTGTGTGTGTGTGTGTGTGTGTGTGTGTGTGTGTGTGTGTGTGTGTGTGTGTGTGTGTGTGTGTGTGTGTGTGTGTGTGTGTGTGTGTGTGTGTGTTGTGTGTGTGTGTGTGTGTGTGTGTGTGTGTGTGTGTGTGTGTGTGTGTGTGTGTGTGTGTGTGTGTGTGTGTGTGTGTGTGTGTGTGTGTGTGTGTGTGTGTGTGTGTGTGTGTGTGTGTGTGTGTGTGTGTGTGTGTGTGTGTGTGTGTGTGTGTGTGTGTGTGTGTGTGTGTGTGTGTGTGTGTGTGTGTGTGTGTGTGTGTGTGTGTGTGTGTGTGTGTGTGTGTGTGTGTGTGTGTGTGTGTGTGTGTGTGTGTGTGTGTGTGTGTGTGTGTGTGTGTGTGTGTGTGTGTGTGTGTGTGTGTGTGTGTGTGTGTGTGTGTGTGTGTGTGTGTGTGTGTGTGTGTGTGTGTGTGTGTGTGTGTGTGTGTGTGTGTGTGTGTGTGTGTGTGTGTGTGTGTGTGTGTGTGTGTGTGTGTGTGTGTGTGTGTGTGTGTGTGTGTGTGTGTGTGTGTGTTGTGTGTGTGTGTGTGTGTGTGTGTGTGTGTGTGTGTGTGTGTGTGTGTGTGTGTGTGTGTGTGTGTGTGTGTGTGTGTGTGTGTGTGTGTGTGTGTGTGTGTGTGTGTGTGTGTGTGTGTGTGTGTGTGTGTGTGTGTGTGTGCGGAGCGCCTTCAAGCGCTACAAGCTACGGAAAATTGCAATGGGAGAGGAGAAGATGCCGGGGGAAGGAGATGCCCGCGATCAGTGGATTGAGATGAGCGCGGTGCTGTACGACCTCATCCTCCAATCGGTCAACAACAACATGTTCCAGCACATCAAGGATTTGGTGGAGTTGGATGATTCTGAACCAAAGGCATGGAAGCTATTACGTGAAGTAATTCAGCCCAACACGCTGCCGATGGTGATTCTGTTGGAGAAGGAGTTGGCTGCCCTCTCCATGAAACCGGGAGATGATGTGAAACCGGTCCTTGACAAGATCAAGGACACTTATGCGAGGATGGCAGCGGCGGGCAGCGAAGTGTCGCAGATGCAACAGTGCACCAAGATCATCTCGGTGCTCGACAACTCGTGGGACAATCTCATCCCCACCCTCAACGTTCAGCAGGACAAATGGACGCCCAAGTGGCTACGGCAGCAGATTCTGCAAGAGGACTTCCGCAGGCGCCACACGGGAGGTGGTGTTGCCAACAAAATTGCTGAGGGGTATGGAGCTGCAGAAGGCAGTAGAGGAAGAGGGGGAGGGAGAGGCCGAGGCCGTGGGAGAGGCTTTGGAAGAGGGAGAGGCCGAGGTGACTACAATGAGGGGCATGGGAGCTCTGGTGGTAGGGGGAGCACCCGAATGGAGGGTGCTTGCTGGTACTGCAAAAAGGCTGGACACCCGTGGTTCAAGTGTTTCAGCCGGCCTGAAGGATGGGCGCCTCCAGGCATGAAGCCGCCAAGTAGTGAACGTGCTCGAGGTGGTGCTGTGCAAGGTTCAGGTGCACAAGGTGATGGTGCACAAGGTAAAGCCGACCCTGGGATGTTCCTCATGGTTGAGGATGTGCAAGGGAGTGGGGGTGATGTGGGTTCAGTTGGGAAGGTTGTGATGCACCCCCTCACTCATTGGGTGATCGATTCAGGTTGCACGAGTCACATGACTCTACGGGCAGATTTGCTTGATGAGGTGAAGCCCCCTGGGAAGATAAAGTTTGTGGCTGCCGCTTCAGGCGCCTTGCTCCCTGTGATTGGTGTTGGGAATGCCAAGGTTATGGGAGCTAATGGGGGGCTTGTGGGGCTAGGAAATGTGCTGTTGGTTGAAGGTTTATCCACTAACCTCCTCTCTGTGCGCCGGCTGCAGAAAAGCAAGGCCAATGTTACGTTCGGCCCAACCAGCTGCCGTGCAAAGCTTGGGAAGTTGCTGCTGTGGGATTTGGAGGAGAAGAGCAGCTGCATCAAGGACCTGTGGCAGCTGCCCATCATCCCTTGGAATGGGAAACCTTCAGCAATGACAAAGGCAGCGGCAGCGGCTAAGGAGACTGCGGGAGGAGAGGAGACTGCACCAACTGCTGGGGCCCTGGATGCAGTCAAGAAGGTGCAGCCGCCACAGCAGCCACATGGTGAGGTGCTTGCTGGTGTGGATGCAACAGCTGCATGGGCAAAGGCTTCCTCTGGGAGTGGTGAGGCCGATTGGGAGACGTGGCACGAGAGGTTGTGCCACATCAACATACCGATGCTGCAGAAGTTGGTGAAGGATGGGAGCTTGAAGGGGTTGGAGGTGAAGGGGGCAGCGAAGGAGATTGGGAGCTGCCCTACATGCCTTGAAACGAAGTTCACAAAGTTTCCCTTCAGCAGCAGCACGGGACCAGCCAAGGTTCCACTCGCGCTTGTGCACATGGATGTGGTGGGCCCCACAAGGGCCCCTTCTCTCTCGGGCAGCCGCTACTTCTTGACGATTGTGGACGACCACACACGTGCGGTGTGGGTCTACCCTTTCAAGACTAAAGGGGAGGTGGCAGCGGCTGTTCTTAAGGAGTGGATGCCGAGAGCACAAACGGAGAGCTGACACAAGTTCAAGGTGATCCGCACCGACAATGGGGGAGAGTTTATTGGCGCTGATTTTGAGGCGGTGCTGAAGAAGAAGGGGATCCAGCATCAGCTCACGGTGCCCTAGAACCCTCAGCAGAACGGCGTGGCTGAGCGGCTCAACCGGACCCTGCAGGAAGGTGCTCGCACTCTCCTTGGGCGTGCAGGGCTGCCGGATCCGTTTTGGATGACAGCACTGCGGCAGGTCGCTGTTGTGAAGAACCGGGTGCTGACGACAGTGGGGGACAAGCAATGGGTCCCCTACACCAAGTGGTATGGGAGTGCACCAGCCGTGAATATGCTGAGAGCCTTTGGGTGCATGGTGGTGTTTCATGTGCCTAAGGAGAAGAGGGGAAAACTAGAAGCTTCTGGGAGATGGGGTATGCACTTGGGGCTTGCTAAGGATCACAAGGGCTGGCTGATTTGGGACTTGACCATCCAGCAGCTGACTGTGTCGAGGGATGTGAAGTTCGTTGAGTCCTTTTACTACAAAGAGTGGAAGCAGCAGCAGCAAAAGCTTCCCACTACACTGCTGATCATTGAGGCTGATGAGGTGCAGCGGCCTTCGAGGCAAGTGCAGGTCACTGTCTCAGAGGAGGAGATTTCTGGGGTTACTGAGGATGGGGGAGAACCTGAGGTGGAGGAGCAGCACCAGCAGCAGCAGCAGCAGCAGCAGCACCCGCAGCAGCAGCAACAAGATGCTCCACAAGGTGCCGTACGTCCGGCTAACCATCCAAGGAGGGATGTGCGCCCTCCTAACCGGCTGACCTATCCGAGCTTTGGGAAGCCAAGTGTGATAAGGGCTAGGAGTGTGGCTGAGCAGTGTGATGAGGAGGAGATAGCGCACTGTTACTGGGCAGCCGTCCTTGAGCCCAAGACATATACCGAGGCCTTGAGTGGGCCCGATGCTGAGAAGAGGAAGCAGAGTGTGAAGGAGGAGTATGACTCTCTGCTGGAGAACGAGACGTGGGAGCTGTGTGAGCTGCCTCCAGGGAAGAAGGCCATTTCTTCCAAGTTGATTTTCAGGCACAAGTACGGACCTGATGGGGAGCTGACCCGCTACAAGTCAAGGCTTGTGGATAAGGGGTTCCAACAGACAAAGGGGAAGGATTTTGATGATATCTTTGCTCCTGTGGGGAAAGGCACTACACTGAGGACGATGTTGGCAATGGCTGCAAACCGTGGCTGGAAGATCAAGCAGATGGACATAATCACTACCTTCTCCAATGGAATCTTTCTGGAGGAGCTGTACATGCTTCATCCTGAGGGGTTGGATGATGGGAGCGGCAGGGTGTGCAGGCTCAAGAAGGCCATCTATGGCCTGAAGCAGGCTCCTCGCGCATGGTACCACAAGCAAGGGCCAGGACCTCCACCCCGCAGACCAAGGTGTGAGTGTGGTGCGGTCTCGAAAGAAGGAGCGAGAAGCCCTCGAGTCAAGGGTGAAGATGAGGGAGGCCGAAGCCGACGCAGTACCTGAGAGAACAGACTCACCAGCTCCTGAGGACGCAGACGCACTGGCACCTAGAGCAGTAGCCTCGCTAGCACCAAGAGCAGCAGCCTCACCAGTACCTAGAGCAGCAGTCTCAATGCCCGGGTCAGGCGGAAAACACCGGTAATAGTCACCCTCATCACTAATGGTCACAGCATATATGGCAGCAAGGATAGCATCAAAGTCAAGATCAAAGATAGCAACCCCCGCCCTAAACAACTCGCCCCAGCGAGGGATCTCAGTCGCGTCAAGAAAGTGGTGACGCCAAGCGTCTGTCAGGCGGCCAAAGCAGCGCTGGGTGGAGTGCAGACCCCCACACTGCTCACCCGAGCGGTCGCCGGTGCGGAGGACGTAGGTACAGGGGCCAGGACCTCCACCCCGCTGATGAGCCGTTTACCACTCACGAAGCTGCTGGGGGGAGAGGGTCTCATGAGTGCGCTGCTGCTGCTGCTGCTGGCGCTGACCACTACCGGCCCCGACCCTCTGCGTAGCGCCACCACGACCAGCTCCACCTCCGCCGCCGCTACTTCCACCATCGCCTCCACCTCCGCCACTGCTACTTCCACCACCGCCTCCACCTCCGCCACCTCCACTCGCACCGCCACCACCGCCGCCTCCTTCGCCTCCATCGCCGCCACTAGCACTCCCACCCCCGCCACCACCCCCACCACCACCCCCACTCCCTCCGCCGCCTCCACCGCCGCCTCCACCGCCCCCGCCAGTGCGCCTGCCCCCCTTGCCCTTGTCTGAGCGGTGTCTCCCGCTAGGGGCAGACGCCGCGCCGACCGACTCAAGACCAACTAGGTCGGCCACAGCAGCAGAGGCAACAGAGGGCAAGAGGGGGGAGGGGGGGCACCCCTCAAAGACAGGGGTACGGGGGTCACCACGAGAGGCTCCTACAGCGACTATGCTCTTCTCTGCTGCTAGGAGGCGCTCCTCAAGGAGCTCAACGGTGAGAGTGGTGGGGCAGATAGAGAGGAAGTGGTCCCTGACTGGGCGAAGTGTGTCAGGGAGCCAGGTAACTATGTAGTAGAGGGTGATATACATAGGGTGGGGGTTCTTGGCGCATAACTCAGCGGGAAGGGCAGCGCGGTAACGAGCGTCACTAGTGCAAAGGTGCGTGATGAGGTCAGCGACAGTAGGAAAGGTAGCGAGGTCAGGAAAGAGGTTTGGCAGGATGAGGCGGCTAAGGGCAGCAGTGGCAGGGGAGGAGTAGCGCGCAACTACAGCGTCGTATAAGGTCTTAGAGGTCTTGTACTGACTAAAGTGCGCGCGCTCAGCGGTCGGCAAGTGGCGGCGCACAGCAAGGCGAGCAGCAGCATCCCGTGTGGCCCACTGTGAGCAAACAGTGGCGTCAGCATCAGCAGCAGGGGCAGGGGAGGCGCCAGAGGTAAGGTCAAACAGAGAAAGGTCGTCTGCCCTGTCGCACTGGAGGAAAAGCTGTAAATCATCTACCCAGATCTCAAAGTCAACAGCACGTCCCTCAGCGTCAAAGGTGAGAACGCTAGGGGTAGCCATGACAGCAGTGGAATAGCAGTGAGAGCAGCAGGGTAGGGACGTGCAGTGGCAGAGTCGCTGCTCTTACCAGGTAGGTGGGACGGCTCCAAGGAGGGCAGCCCGGCTGCTGGGCGGCTCGGCGGCTCGGCTTCTGGGCGGCTCGGCGGCTCGGCGGCTCGGCTGCTCGGCGGCTCGGCTGCTTGGAGGCTCTGCGGCTCGGCTGCTGGGCTACTGTGCCGCTAAGGAAGGCGGGGCCGCGTAGGGCTGTGGGGCCGCTGAAGTGAGCGGCGACGGGGCCGCAAAGGAGGCGGCGAGAGGGCCGCTGAAAGGGCGGCGTCGAGGCCGCTGCAGGGGTGGCGACGGGGCCGCTGAAGAAGGCGGCGGGGCCGCTGAAAGGGCGGCGACGGGGCCGCTGTAAGGGCGGCGACGGGCCATAAGGGGAGGGCGGCGACGGGGCCACTGAAGGAGGCGGCGGAGCCGCTGAAAGGGCGGCAAAGGGGCCGCTGAAGGAGGCGGTGGAGCCGCTGAAAGGGCGGCGACAGGGCCGCTGTAAGAGGCGGCGACGGGTCGTAAGGGGAGGGCGGCGACGGGGCTGCTGAAGGAGGCGGCGAAGCCGCTGAAAGGGCGGCGATGGGGCCGCTGTAAGGGCGGCGTCGGGGCCGCATGTGAAAGGGCGGCGACGGGCCACAGGGGGAGGGCGGCGACGGGCCGCTGAGGGCGGTACGACGGGGCCGCGAAAGGGGCGGCGCGACGAAGTCGCGAAAGGGCGGCGCGACGCGGCCGCGAAGGGCGGCGCGACGGGACCGCTAAGGGCGGCGCGACGAGCCGCTAAGGGCGACGTGACGGGGCCGCTAGGGAAGGCGCGACCCTAAGCGCGCTTCGGGCAGGGGCGGGACGCGCCCCGGGCAGGAAAAAAAAAAGGGTCGGTGGGCCCTAGGAACAGTTCCCACTAGGGAACATGCTCGATACCATGTTGAAGAGAGAACGAGAATGAATGAACTATGAAACAGAAGGGTACAAGTACTAACCCTAATTGGGTTGTACCCCTTATGGGCTACCCCACTACAGCCTACACAAATGCATAAGCTATAATGTTCTAACATTATCCTATGCTAGAAATAGCATGATAACGGAAAGGCAAGCAAGCATAGCTGGCATGAGCCGTCGTACTCTCACACACAACATACATGGCAGCAAGGATAGCATCATAATCTAGATCAAAGATAGCAACCCCCGACCTAAGCAGCTCACCCAAGTGGGGGATCTCAGTGGCGTCAGGGAACTGGAGACGCCAAGCGTTCGTCAGGCGGCCAAAGCAGCGCCGGGTGGTGTGCGGGCCACCGCACAGCTCACCAGTGCGGTCGCCGGTACACAGGACGTAGACACAGGGACCAGCATCCCCACCCCGCTGACGCGCAGCGTACCTCTCACGAAGCTGCTGGGGGGGCGGGGTCTCACGAGAGCACTGCTGCTGCTGACGCTGACCACCACCGAAGCCGCTCCGCTGCGCAGAGCCACCCCGACCAGCTCCACCTCCGCCGCCGCCACCTCCGCCACCGCCGCCACTGCCTCCTCCTCCGCTCCCACCGCCACCGCCGCCGCCGCCTCCGCCTCCACCGCCGCCACCGAAGCTCCAACCCCCGCCACCACTCCCACCGCCACCCCCACTCTCTCCGCCGCCTCCGCCGCCACCTCCACCGCCCCCGCCAGCCCCTCCAGCGCCCTTGCCCCCCTTGCCCTTGCCGGTGCGGCGGCTCCCGCTAGGGGCAGACGCAGCGCCGACCGACTCGGTGCCAACGAAGTCGACGGCAGCAGCAGAGGCAACAGAGGGCAAAAGGGGGGAGGGGGAGCACCCCTCAAAGAAGGGGGCACGAGGGTCACCACGAGAGGCTCCTACAGCGACTATACTTTTCTCAGCTGCCAGGAAGCGCTCCTCAAGGAGGTCAACGGTGAGTGTGGTGGGGCAAACAGAGAGGAAGTGGTCCCTGACCGAGCGAAGGGAGTCAGGGAGCCGGGTGACTATGTAGTAGAGGGTGATGTACATGGGGGGGGGGGGGGGGGTTCTTGGCGCAGAAAATCAGCAGGAAGCGCAGCGCGGTAGCGGGTGTCACTAGTGCGAAGGTGCGTAATGAGGTCAGCGACTGTGGGAAAGGCGGCGAGGTCAGGGAACAAGTACGGCAGCATGAGGCGGCTAAGAGCAGCAGTGGCAAGGGAAGAGTAGCGTGCGACTACAGCGTCGTACAAGGTCCTAGCACTCTTGTACTGACTGAAGTGCGCGCGCTCAGAGGATGGTAAGTGACTACGCACAGCAAGACGGGCAGCAGCCTCGCGTGTGGCCCACTGTGAGCGAACAGTGCTGTCAGCATCGGCAGCAGGGGCAGCAGAGGCGCCCGACGTGAGATCGAACAGTGAGAGACCGTCTTTCCTATCGCACTGTAGGAAAAGTTGTAGATCATCGACCCACACCTGAAAGTCAACATCCCTACCCTCAGCATCAAAGACGAGAACGCTAGGCGTAGCCATGACAGCAGTGGCAGCAGGCTAGGGGCAGCAGCAGCAGTAGCAACAATAGGGGCGCGGCTCGGCGGTGCTCTTACCAGGGCAGGTGGATAGAGGTCCGCAAGTGGTGGGGCAGGGCCGAGGCGCGCCGGCAGGGACAGGGCCGCTACAGGGCGGCAGAGGATTGCCGCTCCTCTCTGCAGGGCAGGGCCGGAACGGCGGCGGCGGCCCCTGCTGTCGGCGGCGGCGGCGGCGGCTGCAGTCGGCGGCTGCGGCGGCGGCGGCCCCGGTAGTGGCGGCAGCAGCTGCTGCTGTCGGCGGCTGTGGCTCCTGCTGCAGGGGCGGCGACGGGTGCTGCTGCAGGGGCGGCGACGGCGGGGCGGCAGGTCCATGAGGGAGCCGAGAAGGGGCCGCAGAGGAGCCGAGAAGGGGCCGCTAAGGGCGGTGAAGGGGCCGCGAAGGGGCTGTGAGGGGCCGCGAAGGGCGGCGACGGGGCCGAGACGGGGCCGTGAGGGGCCGCGAAGGGCGGCGACGGGGTCGTGAAGGGCGGCGACAGGGCCGCGAAGGGCGGCGACGGGGCCCTGAAGAGGCCACGAGGGACCGCGAAGGGGCCACGAGGGGCGGTAAGGGGCCACGAAGGGCCGTGAGAGTGGCCGCGAAGGGCGGCGGAGGGGCCGCGAGGGAGCCGCGAAGGGGCCGCGAGGGGCCGTGAGAGGGGTCGCGAGGGGCCTTGAAGGGCGGCGACGGGGCCGCGAAGGGGCCGCGAGGGGCCTGAAGGGGCCGCGAAGGGCCGTGAGAGGGGCTGTGAGGGGGCCGTGAGAGGGGCCGCTACGGGGCCGTAAGAGGGCGCGACGGGCCGCTAAGGGCAGGAGACGCGACAGGAGGGTAGGCACGCGCGGCGCGACTCGAGCAAGAGCGAAGCGCGCTCCGGGCAGGAAAAAAAAATATATTTTCAGTGGTGGGCCCTAGGAACGTTCCCACTAGGGATCCTGCTCTATACCATGTGAAGATTATAAGGGATGATTGACTAAGGGAAAGGTTGGGTACAAGTACAAACCCTAGAAATGTGTTGTACCCTATATGTGCTACCCTACATAGGCTAAATCATATAAGTCTGACAAAATCCAATCGGAATCGGATGTGGTTTGGGAACGGATCAACCCTAAACACATAGCGAGTTACGTGTTTAGGGTTGATTCATCCGAAAATGCATCCATATTCTTTTTGGGTTTCATTTTGTTTTGGTGGGTGTTTCATCTGTTGGGCTGAAAAGCCCTAGGATCTTTGTAGAGCTTAAGGTCTGAGTAGGATTGTAATAGCGGAAGCTTTGAATAAAGAATGCTTGAACCACCTTGCGCTAGTATGTGAGGGCAAAGTAAGTTGATTAAACAAGCAAATACAAAGGTTTATATAAGAGTACAAGGAATACGAACAGATAAGTTTAAACCGTTTTACTGTTGCGATTCGATACAGTGCGACTCGGGCAACTGCTCAATGTCGAGTCAGTTGTGTGTCCTTGCTGTCGCGCTGTATTTGTCAAGTCAAAGGTCGCTGACCTTTGACCTTCGCGTAACCTCCAAGCGGTTACCCTAACCTCCGAGGGTTGACTCGCGGTGCTTCGATTCGGACTGCTTCGCTAGTGTCCTGGGTTTCGACACGACAGAGGCGCTTAAGACTTATTATTCCCAACACTCCCCTTCGCTTCTGGAGTGTCGCTGATGGTGACGTGGCCTTGTCCAGTTAGCAGCATGCAGTACTCGAACTTCTGTTTTCCGAGTTTCTTGGTCAAGTAATCGGCTGCCATCTCGGACGTGGGACAGTAGGATAGTTCGAGTTTCCCTCTCTCGATCTCGTCCTTCACGAAAAAGTATCGCAGAGCGATATGTTTTGTTCTGTTCGCGAATCCGCTTTTGTTGGCGATGCGAATTGCAGATTGGTAGTTGCGGAACAGGGTGAAGTTGGGTAACTCAGCTAACTTTGCTTCTTCCAGCAGCTCGCGAAGGTAGAGTCCTTCCTTGGTGGCTGAACAGAGGGCGATATATTCTGCTTCAGCTGAGGAGAGAGCGATTAGTTCCTGCTTACTCGACTGCCATGAGATAGGTCCGATAGGCTCGAGACGATAGACGTAGCCAGTGCGAGAGCGCCTGTTATCAGAATCGCCGGCATGGTCAGCATCGACGTAGCCGATTAGTTTTGTCGTCGTAGCTTCGCCCTTGTAGTAAGTCAGGCCGATCGTCGGTGTGCTCACGAAGTAGTGTAGTGCGCGATCGAGCTCCGCCAGGTGCTCTGCTTCGGGTTTCTTGAGGTAGGTAGCGAGTTGGCTTGCGGAGTAGGATAGATCCGGGCGGCAGGTGACGGCTGCGAAGTGGAGGCAGCCCAGTTTCCTCTGGTAGTCGCGTATTACGGCAGTTTTGAGTGGAGCGGATTTTCCTTTGTCATTTCCTGCCGTGTAGCGGTACGGCGTGGCGATAGCGGTAGGTGTGAGTGAGAAGCGCTTGGCGATGGTGTCGGCGTATTTCTCGGCGCTGAGGTAGATAGCATTTTCCTTTTCGCGGATGTTGAGCCCGAGGTACTGGGTGACGGTAGAAGAAACCGTGAGCGTGAGATCCTTCTGGAGCTCCCCTTCGAACCAGGAGGTGATGTCGTCGGTGGAGCCGATGTAGAGTAGGTCGTCGACGTAGACGATTAGCAGGATGTAGTCTGTGCCTTTGGTGAATCGATACATTCCTTGGTCGAGAGGTAGTTGGCGGAATCCGATGCGAGTGAGGCGGGTGTGTAGGTGCTGTTGCCACAGCCGCGGAGCTTGTTTGATTCCGTAGAGCGATTTCAGTAGCTGGCAGACCTGATTGGGGTTTCCGTGGGTACCGTGTGGGAGTTCGAAGAAGATTTCGGCGTCGACGGGGGCGTAGAGAAACGCGTTGGCGACATCAATTTGCCGCAGTTTCTTTTTCTTCATGGCGGCGACAGCGAGAAGAATACGGAGAGAGGTATGTCGACTAACTGGGGTGAATGTCTCAGTGAAGTCTCTTCCTTGCTCCTGGTCGAATCCACGCACGACCCAGCGTGCTTTGAACTTTTCGATTGTGCCGTCTGCTTTCGTTTTGATGCGGAAGACCCATTTCCCAGTGAGAATGGTCTTGTTTCTTGCCACGCTTGCGGGAACGACCTTCCAGGTGTTGCGTTCCTCCAATGCTTTTAATTCTCTGTCCATGGCTTCACGCCATTTCTCCCTGTGTTCCCCCCCTAGAGTCTGCTGAACCGTCGCAGGCTCCTTAGGAAGTGCGCTGCCTGTGTTCCCGTGGACTGCGGTGACGAGGCCGAGGATTTGCAGCCCATTCTGTGAGTATCGGGGGATTGTTGGATCCTCGGGATAAGCTGCTTCGTCTCCCGCTTCTGGATCGGGTATGAAGTTTGGCCCTATTCTTTCTGCTTCGTTTGTGTTGACTGTCGCAGGTGTTACGTAACCGTTGTCGGCGAAGTGGTAGAAGACTTCGGCGTTGACACTGTCGCGAGGATTCTCTTCGTCCATGGGCACGTCGACGGAGCAGTATGGGAGAGGTCCGGCTTCTTCCGATGCGTTGTCCACGTTCTGTTCATCCCAGTCTACTTCGTCCGCTGCTGAGGCGAAGGCTCGGTCACCACGAAAGCCTCCTGTGGGATCCCGATTTTCGTGCAAGTTGGCGAGGTACGTCTGAAGGGTGAGTCGCTCGTAGAAGATCACATCACGTGCTGCTACTGTTTCCTTTGTGTGGACGTCGAAGATTTTCCACGCGTTGTAATTTTTCTCGATGCCGAGGTGTAGTCCCCACTATGCCCGTTGCGAAAATCTTCCAGCTCGTGCTTCTGGGAGTCGGTACTGTACCATGCACCCGAAAACTCTTAACATTTTTGTGCTGCCCTGCTTCCCTGTCCACAGCAGATGCGGTGATGTGTTGTTCGGGAGTGACGACGACGACAGCAAGTTGTGCAGCATGACAGCATGGTCCATTGCTGCTGGCCACTGGTGGTTGGGTAGCCGCATGCCACGTAGCAGCTTGCGCATGCTATTCTGCAGAGTCCTGTTCATTCTTTCTGCAACACCTTGCTGCTGATGGGCGTAAGGAAGGGAGAGGAGTTGTTTGATTCCCCTTTCCGCCAGGTACTGCTTGAAGCGCTGAGAGGTGTATTCTCCTCCTCCGTCTGACTGGAAGCTTTTCAGCTGCGTTCCTGATTCCCTCTCTGCTACCGGTAGCCAGGCGGCGAACGCTGCGAGAGCCATGTCGCGGCTGGGTAGGTTTCGATGCCAAACGTATCGAGTGGCGGCGTCGATGAAAGTTATCGTGTAGTTATAGGTGACTTGTCCTGGTTCTCGATTGAAGGGGATGTCGCTGTATACTTTTTCGAGTGGTGTGTATGCAGGTGCGCTCGGGTTGTGGTGAGAAGGAAACGGTCGATGGGGTAAGTCGGCTTCGGGGCATATGAGGCAAGTTCCTCGTGCCCGTTGAAGTTCTCTGCCGTCGGGTAGAAGTAGTGAATCTTTGTCCAGGACTCCTGCTCGTATTGTGTTATTTAAAACCGTATTGCTTGGATGTCCTGTGCGTGCGTGCCAGATGTCTTCAGGAGCGCGATGTCCGGGTGAGCGTTGATACGCGTCAGAGTTGGAGTAGAAGCTGGCGACGACATTGGCGCTTCTGTGGACTTCTCGTTGAGTCGGGTTCAGTTGCTGTGCGATTGTTGGTGGTGCTTCGTCGACGATGACTGGTGCCGTTGGTCCTGCGGCTGCCGATGTTGTCTCTGCTGCTGCTGATGTTGTCTCTGCTGCTGCTGATGTTGTCTCTGCTGCTGCCGATGTTGTCTCTGCTGCTGCTGATGTTGTCTCTGCTGCTGCCGTTTGTTGAATCGTTGCTAATGCTCGTGTTCGTTCTGCTTTAGGGATGGTGTGCGAGTACCAGAAACCTTATGGGCTGAAGTCGGGATCGAGATCCGGAGGATGTGTCCAGTCGGTGAAGTTGACAATGGCGTCGCTGTCTGCAGTGCCCAGGTCGGGGACGAAATCAAGAACGAAGACGTTGTTCTTCAACACTGCTCTTCCGATGTAGAGGCCGACCTTCCCGTGGTATAACTTAAACTCCTGGGTGGTGCTGTCGGCTTCCAAGTGAATCCCTTTCGCCATCAGTTGGCTAACACTCAGTAAGTTATAACCAAGTCCTTCTGCGATGAGTACCTTTGACATGTGCAGTATGACGTTTGTCTCTCTTGATTGAAGCTGAACTACTCCTTGTTATCGTGTGCGCAGGTTCTGGTTGTTGGTGACCGTGATGACTACTTCTCGTTGGAGTCGATGTTCGCGTTGTACGAAGCGTCCGGAGGAGCACATGTGTTGTCCGCAGCAACTATCCAAGAACCAGGTGTCTTGCCCGGACGGTTCGCTTTGAGCGATGGCGGCGTACGTTGGGTTCGGCTGGAGTGACTCGCGGCGAGGCGTCCTGTTTTCGAGCTCTTCTTCCGGTGAGTAGTGGGGTGGTGACTCGGTTGTGCACGAATCAGTTATCTTCACCATGCAATTGACAATGCTTCTTGTTCCTTGTGCAGATTGTCCAGTTGAAGTTGTTGAGGCTTGGATTGTGGTCGTCGGATTTGCTTGCGTTGAAGCAACTTGGGAGCTTGAAGGCCGGAGTTGTCGCTGTGGTGTTGTCTGACGAGACGGGCAGTGCGTGCGAGGATGGCCCGAAGTCTTGCAGATGTGGCAGAACGGAGGTACCGTCTTTACTTGTTGCTGTTGTCGGTTGTTGTTGCCGTTGTATCGTCGCTGAGTGTGAAACGCAAACTCCGGTGCTAATGCTTTCTTCTTGTGTCTTTCTTCTTGCAGGTCCATGTCCTGCTGCTCAGCATGAATTTCGGCGCAGAGTGCCGCTTCGGAGATCCTCCCGTGTGCTCGTAATATGGCGCGAGTGGAGCGCCAGTGGGGGCCGAGACCGCCGATGACCACCGTGACAAAGGCGTCTTCTGAAATCGACCCGCCGC